GAATTAAAAAATTACACAAAAAATATGAATTTTAAATAGTTAATTTGGTACCAATATCGTTATATTTTTATCAAATTTTTATGAAATCTTCAAATATATATTTTATTCAAAAATAAAGACATAATCTTTTTTCTAAAATCATATATAGTCATACTATAATATCGACTGAGATAAAGAATAAAATAAAATATTAAAATTAAGATTTATCTCGTTGCATTGTATGAGTACCATTCTAGTATATATATATATATATATATATATATATATATATATCTATATATATACACACACACACGTATATACGTATGCCATCTAAGGGCATGTCTTGAAGAAGTTGTGATCTCATCGTAACTCATAAGGCTTGAGGTTTGACCTCGGCTCCACACCTCATCTAATGTCAGAACCTTGTCTAAACTCAATGTCTTTTGTTTCTTACAATGGTGGTTAGAAGAAATTGGATGATTAATACTGGATTTTTCAGGAAATGCTCATTAATCCCAGTAGGCTATGATGGTATTTACGACCAACTGTCGTTGTTATGAAGGGCTTGATAACGATAAGTTGAAGTATGATCTCAAATTGAAGGTTTCTTGAACGGAGAACTATTTAGACATCTTCATATTAAAAAAAAAAAAAAAAAGATTTGTGTGCAGTAGTGGAACAAATGCCTTTTAACTGGGGAGGCAGTACTTAAGGAGAAGTGCAAAAAACAAATCTTTAACATAATGGACTAAGTTTTACCTACCTAAAAGATAAAAAATTGTAGGCACTGTGGCCCCAAAAGGTCCCTATAGGCCTCTGCCCCTGTTTATGTGTCCAGGTATTTATGAAAGAAATATTAGAAAAACGATTTATTTATGCGTACATGCACCGGTTGATCCATAAGAGTTTTCAACAACCTATTGATTCATACGTCCAGCACATCACAGCACAGGTGAGACACTGAGACTATCAACTTTCTTTGGCAGCCAAGGCATGTCCTACGCCCAAAATCAAAGACTTGACTTTTCTAAGAGAAACTCTTGTCTATCAGATACGTGATTTCAGTATTTAAAACCAAAATTTTGGAATTTTAGACCATTCACACAAATGGGAATATCACTCATATTTCAAAAGTGGCACATCAACTTTTGTTATATTTCAAAAGTGGTCCTCGCTGCCGCATCAACAACTACTTTATAATTTATAATATATATCTTATCATTTATAATTAATTAATATTTATATTAATATTAATATAGTACTTTATACTTTAATTATTAAAATAAATAAATATATATATAATTAAAAAATGTTTAAT